ATGACGTTGAAGGCGTGTCTAAAGTGGTCCAAAAAGTGTCTTGATTCCAAAACGAACTGTCTGACCCGTTTACATTGTTTAAAGACACGTGAAAGACAAGTGAAATGATGTTCAATTGAAAGTGCCCAATCATGTGATGTTCACAGTTCAATCTGTTTATAATTTAAACAAAAGCAGGTTCATTTTATGAGAAAGGGACATTTTTGAGGCTCTTGACTCTTGAGTACCAAGCAATTTGTTTTCTGAGGAAATTTAAAACGTTTGTAAAAATACTAGCACTTTTTCATTCTTAGCCTAAAGATTTTTTTTCAGTATCATCTCAATTTAAATATACTTTAAAGTAGGCCTATTAAATGTAATTGTATATATTAAGTGCCAGATAGAGCACGGCAAAAGTATTTTATGGGTTTCAAAATCTCTGACAAACGAAAAAAAAGGGGGAATAAAGGTTCTCCCATTTTTGCAGTCGTCTCTGAAATCTCTTACAAGCGACTAAAAACGCCAAAACAATTCATTTGGGGGCATATTTGGCAAAAACAAAGGAAGGGGCAATCACCCCTGTGCCCCCTGTCTCCGTAAAGTTACCATGGCTTCTCTTAGATTTCTAAAGTTTGTTTCATGCAGGAAACACAAATGTTGACTGTCACTGATCGCCTTACGGCTCAAGAGGTTCGTCAAGTAGCGTAAGGGGAATGAACTCACCTCCAGTGGCGGATCCAGGGGGGGCCCGGGGGGCCCGGGCCCCCCCCCCCCCCCTTGAGAAAAAAATCATGTAAAATCACGTGATTTTTACGATTTTTGGGGTTGGGCCCCCCCCCCCCCCTGGCGCTCAAGGGGGGGGGTGCAAATTGAAAATTTTTTGAGGATCAAAAAAAATTAAAAAATGTGCTCACTACCCCCCCCCCCCCCCCCCCCCCCCCCCCCCCCCCCCCCCCCCCCCACTGAGCGAATTTTTGGCCGGCGCGTTTTTCAAATTTTCGGGAGCAAAAAAAATAAAGTTGGGCCCCCTCCCCTAAGAAATCCTGGATCCGCGCCTGCTCACCTCACACTGAAACATTATCTCCACAGCTCTCCAATGCTGCTTTTTTTCCCGAAAAGAATAGAGGAAATTAATAAAAGTTTGTTCAACGAGAATCGTCCATGTACATGTAAATATTGACTAGACATTTTTCGACTAATGTATCAAACGAATTGTAGCATAAAACTGAAAAAAAACCAAACACACGCAATGAGAATATTTGTATAGGCAACCCCATGAAATAGACAATGAAAACACCAGAGAAAAAGAAGAAAAAACATTCTGTCAGTGACAATACAAACAACATAAAACAAAGTGAGGCGTATCCCACGCAAATTCCTGCATTAATGAATTTGCATTGTCACGCCCTTGTATTATGTTTATGTTTTGCTGTTTCGAACATTTTGTAAAATGTGGGGGAATTAAAATTGAATTAAAATTGAATTCAAATTTCGAAACCAAACAAGTATTTATGAAGTACTGAAGAATCCTTCAGAAGCAAGCAATACAATATAATACAATTCAATAAAGTCATTTCTTTAGCGCTCTTACAAACTAACTGTTGTTTCACATCGCTTTACATAAACATTATCGAAGAAGAGTTTTGAGACATTTTCGGAAGACATCCAACGAAGGTGATAATCGAATAAAACGTGGAAGCTCATTCCAGAGTCGAGGAGCACGTGCATGGAAAGCATTGTGCGATCACTCTTTGAGCGTGTTGAGAGGTACAAATGATTGTTGGTATCATTGTAAAACAATCTACATCTCAAGACAATGACATCGCACTTTATACCGTCAAATATCTTGCTCCCGAAAGAATCGAGAAGTCTCAAAGTTTATTCAACAGGAAACACAAATGTTGCTCCTTGAGATCGTCTTACCTTTCAAGAGTTTCCTGCATATCATATCCAACGGAAGACTACTTTACACTCCAGTATTCACCCTAAGTTTATACTCCATTTTAGAGTACTGTCCTAAAAGACCAGGGGTGTTTCACAAAGATCTTAAGTTGAACTTAACTCTTATTAGGACTTAAATATGATTGAAAGCCATTTGTAGCCTCATTATAAAATATATTAGAATACAAAATTCCAGTATTTGTTAGACTTTTCATAAATAACACATCAAGAACATGAAATATCCTTGATAATAGAAAATATAAATGTTTTGAATTAACATTTTATGCCTTTTAAAATAATTTTTACAACATATTTTCAAACATGCTAACGGCTTTCCATAATTTTTAAGTCCAACTTAGAGATAAGTTCAACTTAGGATCTTTGTGAAACACCCCCAGGGCAATATCGTTTCACGAAACAGTCCCGAGTACATGTTTGCTGATATCCCACCTTTAAACGTATGCATTAAAATTAATATGTGTTTTGAACAGTGAGATGTGGGTGAACTTGTACTCTTGGTGGTTTCGTAAAACGAAGGCCCTGAGGTATTAAATTCCGAGGGCCTATTCAAAAGGGAACATGAATGTTGCAAGTAATCATACACCTCGAGCAATGTCGAGGCAATCTATAATGTATACAACAGTGCGCTGGTATGTTCGTACCATTCTTGTTCTTTTCCAAACGCTTGCCCCTGTACTTAAAAAATAAAAACAAAACTTGATGGGAAAAAAAAGGAATTTTACTTGTCTCTATATCTTTTTGTTATGTTACTGATGTTTAATCATTAATCATTAAATTTACATAAACATGTTATGGAAAATGTCACTCTTCAGGTGTTTCCCTGCAAGGTTACACTACCTTTGTTATAATAGTGCACCTGCATGCATTTACCATGAACCCTCACTATGTTTGAAATTATGTAACCAGGTGGGTGTTTTACAAAGATCCTAAGTTGAACTCATCTCTAAGTGGGACTTACCAATTATGGAGAGCCATTTGCATCTATGAAAATATTTTGTAACAGGTATTTTAGAAGGCTTAAAAGTGTTGATTCAAATCATTCATATTTTCTATTATCAAGGAGAGTTCATGTTCCTAATGTGGGATTTATAAAAAGTCTAAAATACTTGAATTTTCGCTTTTGAATGAATTTTATATTAAGGCTATAAATGGCTGTCCAAAATTGTTAAGTCCAACTTCGAGTTCAGTTCGACTTAGGATCTTTGTGAAACACCCCCAGGGAATTATAACTAAAGATGGGACTTTTTTAGGAAAGATAATAGCATGAACGACAATTTCTTACACGAGTAACTGGACAAGACCATTTTGTCACATAAATATGTCACCAAGTATTATTAAATCGTATTATGGAATAGTGAACATAAACTGACATAACAGTATTTTATTTTACGTTCTGTCTGATTCAAGCTTGAGTATATATAGGAACAGGTAGGACTATCAGCATGATACAGTAATCAGATAATCTGTAATCTCAGGTTGAGGTCGGTATCGAGTGGAACAAAGCAGGTCTGACTATAGCCTAGTTTTACATGAACTGGATATCCCTTGTTTCACATCTAAATTCTAAAATGGGGCCGCCATCGACGTTTGATTTTTTATTTTAACTGCATTCCATAATTACTAAACATAACGAAAATCAAATAATAAAAGTACTTTCTGACAATAAATCATGAATAAGCAATATACATAACAACTATCTTATTTTTTCTTCTTTTAAAGGATGAATTTTAAAATTATCATATTTCTTCAAACTTTGGGGCAGCCATTTGACATCAAGTAGTTCGCTCATGATGGCGGTCTCCTGCGTCCACAAATGTATATGTTTTAGTTTCCCACATGCGTATTTGTGTTAAAACTAATCTATTAATGTCTGAAAACGTGTATTTTATTTGTTTCTGTAAGATGAAATTACTTTGAATCACGATATTGAACGCAGAAATATAATTCAATCGAACAAACAAATGGTTGCTATGCCAACAATAATGTATCAATATACTCAAAATAAATTGCTCAAAATTTCAACTCTGTCCAAGCACATACTGGACAAAAACATGGCAAACCTATTGGCCCAAATTCACAAGAGGGGGTTTTAACCTCACCCATGGTTTAAATCTCTTTTGTAAGTTCGGGCCAGTGTGCGCATAGTGGGGACTTTTAGATTTGCGTGGACTGATACGTGTGGCGTCCATTCAAGGCAGTGCATTAAAAGGACGTCGATCGTAGCAATCCGCATTGTCTTCGTGCAAATCTAAAATTCCCTATTTTCACCCCGCCCCGCCCTTCCTCATCAATACATTGGCCAAGCCATGGCCTAACAAAGCTCATTGTTTGTTTTTATTTACACTTAAGTCGTTGTAACATGTTTGTCTTTGTGTTGTTAAGCTCGTGAAAGTAAGCCCTAATTGAATAAACCGCGGTAATCTGCATGTTAATTGCGATAGCACGCACACGATATAGTGCTCTATGTAATTATGTACACAAATCATTGTAGTAAAAATAGCTGCTAAAAGCACTAGCATGACTTTCGAGGACCAAGAGTTTACGTCATTCGCGGTCGATATGTCTACAGCATACAAAACTAGCTCATGCATTTAAAGCACTATTATTTTCATATTTTGCATCCGTTAGGGTTATTGACTAAATGTCCCTGAAATTTACCAGAATGACCCATTTCCTTCTAATAAGGAAACATATAATTGATTCATAATTTTGGAGATATTTTTAACAGTTTAAAATTACCATTAATCACATCATAATTTTATGCAAGTTAAGTTTAATTTACATAATTTTGTTATGTACGTTGGTGGATGAGTTACTCTGTTTTCCATGTTGTTGTTATCTATTGCTGAGTTTTGTTGCTGCTGCTGCTGTCTTGTTTTTTTGTTGTTGTTGTTTTTGTTGTTGTTGATGATGATGATGATGATAATATTATTGCTTATCAGATAATTTTAGGACTTGTGCCCCCCCCCCCCTCCCCGGATCCCATACTGACGCGTGACGCTGAATCGAATCTGAAATGATCTAATAGTCCAATATTAATTAAGAATTATTGCACTCACCTGTATACAGTCGGGTCTCCATAGCAACCATCCACATCTTAACGACTCGACATCATTCACCGTCTCATCAACATCCACACAAGCATCTTCTCCCCTCACCGTCTCCGAAGTCGATGCGCAATCCCCCTCCTCATCATCAAGGTTATTATTTCCATTTTCCTTCGTCGTCGGCAGCTTCGAGTACTGCTCCAAGTTCGACATCGCCAGCTTCTCCCCAACAGCCGGGTTGACCCCCACCAACCCTCTTCCGTCCCGCCGCAACGAGAGGGATGACCGTACCTTCATCCCGGGGTCGCCGTTGACTTCCAAATCGCCTGCACTGTCACTGTGTAATGATCCACGCCGACTGTCACTCTCGACGAACCCTTCGTTGTAAAAACTCTTCCGCGAATGAGAAGTTCCTGCCGCGAAAGTATTACTGCGTGGTTTTTTTGGTAGCGCATCCCTGCTCGGCTGCGCGTCTAGGCTTTCAGTGCTTCCCGTGAGCTGGCTCTCTCCTAATATCGGTTTTTCGTCGTTGTCCCTCGCAACGCGGGCCCTAAACAACTTCTCCATGTTCTCTGCAAGAAAAAAAAGGCCAATTTAGATTCATCAGACTAATATTTCAGAAAACGCGGTCACTCCTACTTCTGAAGGAAGATGTCAGATTGATTTTTCCTGCGCATGCTGTTGCAATTAAAGGAATAGTCACGTTGGTTCCTTTTTCCCCCTATTTTGTGGCTTAATCAGAAGTAAAAGAAGAGTTTTAACAAAATCTGCTTGACTTGACACCTCGCTTGAAGCTTTAGAGAAGTATTGGTCTGCACATGACGATAATGATGTCCAAAATGAGCATATCACAGCTATTATAACTTTCCCTCGTATGTTTATAGGCCGATGTGACATTTAACCGAGAAAAATGTACGGGTAGGGAAATACTTGATTATGCTAATTGGAAAGAGAGAGAGAGAGAGAGAGAGAGAGAGAGAGATCGTGAGTGGAAAACAGGATCGAGGCCGGAGTCAGAGGTAACTAAAGGTTTTTATATTTAGGGAGAGAGAGAGAGAGAGAGAGAGAGAGAGAGAGAGACGGGAGAGAGAGGGGGAGAGGGGGTGAGAGAGAAGGTGAGAAAGAAAGAGGGAGAGAGGTCGAGGGGAGAGAAGAGAGGGGAAGAGAGAGAGGGAGAGGGGGAGAGTGAAAGAGAAAGAGAGAGGAGAAAGAGAGGGTGAGAGTGAGCGTAAAAGAAAGAGAAAGAGGGGGAGAGAGAGGGGAAGAGAGTGTGCGAAACAGAAAGGGAAAGGGGAGACAGTGGAAGAGAGAGAGAGTGAAAGAGAAAGAGAGAGGAGAAAGAGAAAGAGCGAGAAGGAGGGAAGGGGTAAGACGCGATCATACTAATAGAGAGAGAGAGAGAGAGTGAGAGGGGAAGGTGAGAATTAGAGATCAAAAGACAGCATTTTGAGAAGAAGTGTTGGCAGGAAATGAAGTTCTTTGGATTAGATAGCATCAGGTCATGTATTATACCAATTTCTCTCCGATCCGGCCATCGTTACTGAGTATAACAGAATATGACTGCCATATCATATCCGACAATGCATGAGACTTCAAAATATAGTCTTAAAGGGAAACTCCACGCTGACATTTAGTTGACTTATTAAAGACAAAGCTGAATAGTCATGCAATATATAGCATTGTGAAAGAATTTGTCTGGATGCAACCTGGTCCGTAAAGGTGTGAAAATATCCGGCAGAGATCTCAATTCATTAACATCTCATTACAATTTTTGTTTCCAATTATAGATTATTATCAACATAATTATGACGGAATGGATTTGTTTCACAAAGGAACGATACATACAGGCATTATCTTTCCGTTCATTTTGGCAAAGTTATGAGAAAATAATTACAGTTTAGAAGTTAATGTGAACAAATTAGATTTAGTTCGCAAAATGAAATTACTGAGTTGCCAATTTGTAATCTAGATGCCCCTATAAAGCTGACGCATGTGAAATATTATACTTTTTGTTGTCACGTGAGAAACTTGAAATTGTCTTTGATTTTTTACATGTAAATCGTAATCTGCATAACACAATACTGAATAAGGCTTTCATATTCATAATTCGTAATGATTTATTTTATATTAATGGGGGAATTTACATCGATTTTTATTTGTGAGTGTTAAAAAATGGTTTTACGCCAACTTTGAGTTTCGCTTGGCTTCATACCAAACTCAGAGAACAACTAGATGTTTATTTCTGTGATTTTACTGTTTGCCTTTTCCTTTTCTTTCTCTAATCGGTTGTAAACATCTTGCTGAAGTGATTCTTTTTTTTCCTTCCAATATCACTTTCCGTCTTCCCCCATTACCGTCTCTTCGCATTGATTTAGAAACAAATGGGTATTTGGTGTGACTACTCGCATTCATACTCCAGTCACACATACGAACCGACAGCAGAACGACAACAAACCGACCAACCAATATTACATTACAGGTATAGACCAGTTTTGGAAACGCTCCCCTCTCAAAAAATGAAATGGAAGCTCTTATTACCAGTCATGTGTAGGAATATGTGTTGACTAATGCGTGATGATGCAAATTTTGCCGGGAATCGACCTTCTAATTGATATATTTGGTAAATTATCAGATCGATCCGGCTGGATAGATATCGCGTAGTCCCATACACATTTTTCTGTGTACCGTGCTTGTAACCTAACCAAGACTGGGCCAAATTTCTTATCATTTTGATGATTTCAGAACCTTGCAGTACACACCAATATAAATGCTAGACGATCAACATTTTCTTTCACAATGCAATCGCATGACCAGAACTGGTCTCTACCTTTAATCACAATGTCATCAAATTAGTCGGTTTGACGGTTTGACTGAGATATTGGACTCGCTTTTAGAATAAAATTAAATATAATATTGTTTATCATCCATATCTTCTAGTGATTAATTAATAGAGATTGATCAGTGTAATATTATCTTGAACGAATAGACAAAGGGTAAATCTTTTAGCAAAAATTATCATCGTTTATGGATATACAAGGAATACAATTGCTCTTTTATTTTGTCTATACTCGTTTGGCATTTAGTAAATGGGCTAATCGACAGTCAGGCGTAACCATGGTTATTCTGTTAAACACTTTTATACAATTTTGATAAGCCCAAATCATTACGTTAGATTTACTGATCATTTATTGTTGACACTGCTTGCTGCTATGTTCATTTGCAATGAAACGGATCAATAAAGCATGAAATACAAAAAAAGCAAGAAGGGCTAATTCATGTTCCGGAGAAAATACTGTGTCACCTTCGTGTTTCCTTTCCTTGATTTGTTTATGCTATAGATTATACATATGTGATAGTTCAAAGCCAAACGAATAAATCCAGTGATGAATTAACGTCTTGCCGAATGAAACCGAGTGGTTCATGTGTCAAACGTGTGGGAATATGAGAACAGGTTAAAGATAAAGTTGAGTTCTGGTCATGTGATTGCATTGTGAAAGAAACGGTGTGGAAGCTATCAGAAACGGTTGATCATCTAGTATATAAGTATTCGTGTGTATTGCAAGGTTCTGGAATCATCAAAATGATGAGACATTTGGCCAAAGCTTGGCAAAGTTACAAGGACTGTACACAGAATGATGTATATGGGACTACACGAGCACATGGCGAAAAAAACCTACCCCCCGATTTTTACGTATTTTATGTCATATTTAGAATATGAAGGCATTTAAAGAGCCATGCTTTTCAGGGAACATGTTTAATCTGATGTTCTTCCACCCTTGCATAATAACAATGATAACGCTCACAAATTATGTTTAACCTCTTCCCAGAACTCAACCTTCTCTTTAAGTTCAGTGTTAGATGCATGACATTGAACAACGCGATCGTGACGTCTATATCAAAACGGAATGCCGGAAGATTAACGATTGTCGGGTAATATAGATAAATGATTTTTATCAATAGAGAAATTAGATCAAGGAAATGTGACCTCTTATATGAATACGAATTTTCATTGTCATTTCGAATGTCGGGTTATAAAGATAAATGATTTTTATCTCTAGAGAAATAAGATCAAGGAAAAGTGACCTTGTATATGAATACGATTTTTCAATTACAAGAGAAAGAAAGCAGTTCTTCTCGGCTATGGGATGGGAAGCGATAGCTCCCCACCACCCCCCCCCCCCCTCAGAAAAAAATAATTTGAGAGTGTGCCATGTTACCACAAGTTTATTTATCGACCTTGTTGTATTTTTCATGTGAGGATTATTATGTGTACATGTGTCTACAAACACGGGGCGTGTGCCAGTTCCCATAAATCCGTCAATCAATCCAAACATTTTATGAAATAGACAATGATTCTTGTTATATCAGTTTCAACAGTTTTCCTCAGTCGGGTTGCAAAGAAATCACGGCGTAAATATTTGTTAACATTATTTAATACAGGGCTACCTTCGGCAGTCCATCTCCCCCCCCCCCCCCCTTCCCTTCATCAGTTTCTGGATACGCCGTAGTTATAATTGTCATTTCATTGATTCATTTTCATTTCCAACAAAATATGAATATCATAGTCATAAATAATATTCAAAATTTAAACGAAACAATACATTTTAAATAGATAAAAAAGCAATACAAAAATGATAACCTTAACAAAATAAAAGGAGAATAATTATAAAGGGAAACTTGATCTATATTCTGTAGAAATGGATAGGTCCACTGTAACCGATATCTAAACACGGAAACACATTTCATACTATGAAATTAATGGAAAGTGTAAAGTGACCACAAGTACATTCAGGAAAATTGAAACATATCATTATTCACGAGCGACAACGACCATACACAACTTCAGCACAACAATTCTTCTTTCTTACGCAGAAGTATCAAAAGTCCTTGAAAGGCAAATTTGTCAAATTTTAAACGATTTGAAAAAAACGGTTTGATTTGTCACTCGCCCATATGAAATTGCATCCCGATCCGCATGTGTTTCCGATATAAATTCTGAAATCAGAACAAGATCGAAATTGATGAAGAAGCAAGCATGAGGGGGGAAATAAACAGAAGTGGTGGTGATGAGTATAGAAAATATGCAGGGGCACGTTTCATGCTGTGATAAGTTTGTGTAAAGTTTTGTAACTATGAATAATCACTGGTTTATATACTTACTAAACTCTATGCTCCTTTCCATAGTTTCGTAAAAAATTAGATTCTTCAGTTTTAAATCAGACTGATTCTCTGCATGCCCGCATCTATTCTTGTAGTTTATGAGAATGAAATCTTCACAAATTTTCCACCACAAAGATCGGGAATAAATTAGCGATGTTAATATTTAGATAGAATCCTGTTTCACTCTCACTCTCTCGGTAGTCCATCTACTATCTCAATTATAGCACACTTTCACATCATCAATTAACGTAGTGGCGACAAGCATAAGTTTTAGAAAGGTTATTTGTAATAATGATAATAATAGATCACATTTATGACGCGCCTAATAGTCGCAGTATATATTAATGGTGATAAAAGGTCATTGTAATGGTAGAAGGATAAAAGTAATCATAAAACATTATTATGTCATCGA